TTAGCATGTTTCCCACACCTTGCAATTGGTGACCATGCATTATAAACAGTTGGTATGATTGACAATTTGGAAGTATTCACCATTCATTTAGCAAGTGATAAAGATGACATTTAGCCAGCAAGCTGATAGACTTTATGACATCTCCCTCCTATATAAAAAAGATATGTATGGCACCTTACAAAAGTAGTACTATAGTAAGTGTACCATGTTTTCTTTGTTTTTATTTGCAACCATCTTTGTAGCCCCGACTTGTATAGTATTTCTGTGAAATGATTCAACTGTGATTATCCTAATCTAAGGAGATATGCTGACTCTGTAATTAATGATAAATCTTATTCCAGAAGAAACATACCTTTGTCCAACTTTGTATTTAATTTTTGACTCAACTCCTTTATTTGATAGAACAGAATAAACTATGATATCTTTCCAGAATTAGAGAAAACTCTTGAAACTGGAACCATCAAAACAGACTTACTTATTGCTTTTGTAGCAGGAAAATCATTAAATTTCTTTTGTGTTATGCCTTTCGGCAACTCCAATATTATAAAATCAGATTTGATCAAAATTCACTAGACTCAAAGTGAGACTCTAAGAATATCTGGGTGGCATGTGTTGTTTCAGAGATATACAAATAAAGTTATACTGCTTATAAAAGCTTGTTTGAACATTGCATTTTACTACATGCTTAATCTATTCATATCAATTTCCCACCAAGATCAAGTTGCAGATCAGCTTAATGTATCACTAGGTAGAGACATCTGGAATTTAACATCTCAAAGATTCATCCATTAGTTTTAATAGATGACATGTCTCCATTCTTATCATATTCTATACAATTTATCTCAAAGTCGCTGGACATGCAACTGTCTTCTGATTCTAACTATTATCACACCTTTAACATTATAAACATTAAAGCATCATTAATCTTCTTTCTCCAACTCAGAAGATGTCCCTCCTAATTCATCTGTCATTCCAAGCTCTTAGCTTCAGTTGCAACTATCATCAGAGGAGAGCTCAGAAGGAGAGCTCAGAAATGCTCTCCAATGCAAGTCATGACAAAGACGTGTCTAGCATATCATCCTTTCAGGCACACATAAATAGCTTGAGTCATCATATCACATATGATGATATATCCAACATTCTAGAAAAATATATTCAAAGAGATAGATCATCATTCAAGACAGAAGATTTGTCATCTCACTTAGAGGATGATGATAGTCTAGCTGATGATTATCTACCTACAAGTAGAGAAGAATATACTCCTATAGATATTGATTCAATGTTAAACTTGGCATGCTACATACTATGACTTCCTGCTTTGGAATAGCTTCATACATTAAATCCCTAGATGAATGTTGGAGAGGCAATTCTTAATTTCTTCTTGATGACCAAGTAGTATCTCAAACACGGCCAAGGACCTTTGAGATATGCTAATATGGCAGCTGTGGCTCCTTCCCTAGTCAACAATGTGGCTATCTATTGACTTTATTTGTAAGCAAGAGACTTTTAAGTGTCAAAAAGTCTTTGTTGCTATCTAAAGTAAGCAACTGTCTTAGTGGCCAAAGTTATGAAGACACTCATAGGAGAAATAAAGACAGCTATAGAGGCCACTCTTGCACTGCCTAATGTGATGCAATCACAATCTTATTTGCATACATCTGGGTAGTGTTCCAAATTTTCATATTTTTTCATGATTCATTACTTTTTCTTCATTGCAAAGTCATCTGAAAATTCTGAATCATCACATCACCAGGTTATAGACCAAGTGATCAGTGAGAAAACTTCATTTGAAAATGTCTCATTGTTATACTTGTCTTTGGAGGCACTAGATGAAGTTGCACTTTCTTCACCACACTTAACTATCCAGAAGAATTGGGTTATTTGGTATCTACTCCACCAAACTCTTCACCTTTATCTGAAGATGATTTGTAGTTTCAAGTTTCTGCCTCTTTTTTCTTACATATAATGGAAGAGTATGGGGGATCACCTTCTATTCAACCCCTATCTTTATCTAGCCAGGAAGAATCAGCTAAGCAGCCAATTACTAGCAAAAAATCTAAGGCCACTTTGATTTTCATCAAAAGTCTTAATGACCAATTTGTCTACCATTCTATAACCTATGTTCCCAATCAGCTCCAAATCAAATCCAAAGAAAAATCCAAGCAGTCATTAAGATATATTCAGTCTGTTCAGAAGAATGATGAAATGCTGGTGAGTTTCTTATTTTGTTTGATATCAATAGCAATTTTCTTAATATTTGATTCAGACCAGTGAATCTAACAAAAATAATCAAAGTCAAAGGTCAAATAAAGAAAAAGTATTAAATTTTACCATGTTCCTTAAAGCTTATCAAAATAATTGGATATTAAACAAGAGAAAGAAGAAAGCAGGAATCTCAGGCTCGACATGGAATGAGAAAGTAAGTTTTGGATAGCAAATCACAACTTCGGACTAAGGTGAAATTATTCTAGTTTCTCAAATCCTTTCATGTCTGGGACATGAGTGGACTCAATCAAATGAACCCCAAAGCAATATCAAATAACAAATTAGTCAAGCTATGGTGTCCAAAAATATCCAAGTATCTCTATCTCTATCATATTTTATGTGTGTATATTAAGTTATCTGCAGAAGGAGATCAAGGCTCGCATGCATGTTATTGTCTAGTATGTTTGTTGGATAAAACAACAGAAAGGAATAGACAAGCTTCCTGAGGAGGTAAAAATTGGATTTCAAGCTCTATTCAAACTTTTAGAAATGTAGTCTTAGTATGATGAGCTAGTTAGTTCCTTGTAATGTGAAAATTCAAATATTTCAATGGGAATTCAAATGAGTAGAAGTTTGATGGAGTCCTAGTATGTACAACATTATTTATAGCCAATATGCTGGACAGATGGGACATTGATAATAGATGATGCTAGACAGTTTTTTTGTAGGAATAATCCAATTATGATTGACCTGATCCAAATAGATGATTCAGTCATGAGAAAAAGGGTGACCTTTGATAATCAACTGGTGATACCATGCTCTTACTTGAGACATGGTCCATCCATTGCCAGATACAGCTGTAATTCCATACTTAATAGAACAGCAGAGAAGTGCTTTGAAAAGTTAATCTGTGAACCCTGGATTGACTTCAATGGAAGGAAGTCTGGATTTGAAAGACTGTGCTGGTTCAAGGACTAGCAGACATCTTGTATGATACCAGTGGTTGCAATTCAAGCAAAATTTTTGAGTAGCCTTATCAGGACTAAAGGAGTTTGGGGGGCAGAGATGATGTATACCAGCAGGTGTATAGACCATTCCAACTCCAGGGCTTTTGTGAGCCAGACTTTCCATTAAACTTGACTACATAAATGATGCCTTAAATATCACATTAGTTGGTTTAAGAGTGATCAATAAGAGATGCATATTTGTTACCAGCTATTATAGAGGCTTCTGACCATTGAGTGAGATCTGACTGTATACTTGTTTGACAGGGTGCAAATTTTCCATGACTGGTACAAAGATTGAGTGTGTACAGTGGGTGATGATCTTTGTGGGAGAGACCATCTTCAATACATAGAAATAATGAAATGGATTCTTGCACCTAACTAACAAACTAACCTTAGGAAAAGCTGTAGAGTCCAAATAAAACTTTGTGTTTCCTAATGATGTTATGAAACAATTTGATATAAGTTGAGGAAAGAGAGGGAAATATAACATAAGCCAGGGGGTCTAATTGATTTGTAGGAATAAGTGATGCTGCTTCCTAATGACATTATGAAACAATTTGATATAAGTTGAGGAAAGAGAGGGAAATATAACATAAGCCAGGGGGTCTAATTGATTTGTAGGGATAAGTGATGCTGCTTACATAAGTTACACAATAAGTCACAAGTAGAGGTCATCATCTGGTAGTGTCATATCCCATATATTCACACTTCTCTTCCGGACTTTGGACCCTTAGATCCAATCCGGTCCAATGCATAGATCCGCTTCCAATCCAATTTACGATAAGCTTCTTAATTCATTTCCTGTTCATATAACATTAAACACAGCCTATTGGGTATTTCCTCTTCCCAGTGTTTCAGTTATACTTATTACCAGTATGCTTACTGATCCGTTAACCTATGCTTCATTTCTGACTCGCGTTTGATAACCTTTGCACATGCTTCGTACATAGCCTCGGACCTTTGCTTACCGATCCTTCTGTTATCCTCTTAGTATATAAACTCGTGTATATGTCCTGTAGTACTTCAGTTCGAATATCATCTTAGTTTGTCCTCTTTCTGTCCTCCGGACTTGAGTTTAATAAGCTCTTGTCACCCTCCGAGACTTTGGATAGATGTCGATTGTCTATATCCTCAGCTCTACCTTCGGGTAGTCTATACTCTGTTAGTTTCTAGTTCGGACACGTCCAGATTAGTCTTATACGTGTTTCTGATATCCGGAAGTCATCCGGATATATCGACAAGACCCGTCCAGACCTTCGGACACATTATCAATAGCATCCTGAAATAAGGGACAGTACTTGGGAAAGGGGCACAGTGTACGAGTTGAGGCCGAAGTCCTTCGGATCTGATCCTATGAGAGTACGACCTTAACAGGTAGGTAGGACCTCCTACATAAAATATTCTGCTAATATGTAACTCATAAGAAACAATCATGAGTAATGTAGTAAGGTTCAGATATGTTAAGGTTAGTGGGCTCTATGTATACGTCTGTAAGATTTGGTAAGGAACGAGCAAATAAAGTGGCAACTGCAACATCATTGTAAGGTGGGGTGACTCCCACAGTGAGCATGTTGATCAACTTGTTGACAGGGAGAAGATTCAAGTCCAATGTATCTAGACTGCAGTTAAACACAAGCCCAAGATTACTCAAAACACAGTAATGCAGCAGAAGGGATGAGACACCGGCTAGCGATGCCCTAGGGGGGGTTGACCAGTATTGAGAACAGCCGAGAAAAAAGCTTTCAATTTGAGGTGAGGCTATGGAGAGTGAAAGCAGATCATCATCATCTAAGGTGCACATATTGGAGAAGCCCAGGTCGATATGTGTAAGTGAAATGGATAAAGCAGTGCAAGATTCTTGAGCTCTAGTGGGGGTACGTTGCATGGAACAAAAGCATGTACATTCACGCTGAAATGCATGAGGTCAGACACTGAGAAGAGGTAAATGGCGGAAAAATTGGGCAGGGCCACCAGGAAGTTGATGAATTCACCCAGTGTGATGCTACCAAGCTGGTAGAACAGCGAGATATTCAATTGCTCGCATGGGACCTGAAACTCACACAACATTATGAAGACAGTGGTGAAGACTTTGTCGTTTAGCATGCCATGCATCAAGTTCATCTGAAATGAGATCCCAAAGGAGAGAAGGGGATGATGGAAATTAGGGGTATGCAGTGGCAAGTACAGTTGGCCATATATGACCAATGTCAGGTAGAGTAGTGAGGGATGCAAAAATATGGGTTCCATGTCCTCAATCAAAGGGACTTTTAGGAAGTGAAGGTTAGGGAAAAGGTGAATGTTTTGAATGAAATCACAAACAGGTTGGCCAAGTCTGAGCCAGGCGAGGTTTTGGAGGGATGGAAGTGCACTGAAGACACAAGAGAGAACAGGCTGTGAGTGACCAAACAAGTCTGAGAGGATGAGCATTTGAAAACCACTATTGATGATGTATAGCAGGATTTGGAGAAGAGGACTGCTCAAGTTGGCTAGTTGTAAGTGGGTTAGGTGTGGAAGGAGGGGGGCATCAGATCTAGAGGCATGACAAAGGAATATGGATATGAGAACATCGACTGCCTCCATACTGAGACAGCCTGGAGGTGTCATAATTGTGCCAGGAAAACTTCTAATGTGACATGAGGATTCTGCATATAGAGAATAATGAAATAACTCACATAGCACCATGTTCCATTTGGATGGAGATGCCTTTGCACCACTTACTCCAGCATTAGGTGAAGCAAGGGTGTTGGAGAAGGCAACTCCTGTCATAAGACCATCAGAGCAACATTGGACATGAAACTATTGACTACTAGGAGGGGGAGCAAATGGCACTGACTATTAGGGCTGCCTGTCATATCCCATATATTCACGCTTCTCTTCCGGACTTCGGACCCTGAGATCCGATCCGGTCTGATGTATAGATCCGCTTCCGATCCGATTTACGATAAGCTTTCTAATTCATTTCCTGTTCATATAACGTTAAACACAGCCTATTCGGTATTTCCTCTACCCGGTGTTTCGGTTATACTTATTACCGGTATGATTACTGATCCATTAACCTATGTCTCATTTCCGACTCGCGTTTGATAACCTTTGCACATGCTTCGTACATAGCCTCGGACCTTTGCTTACTGATACTTCTGTTATCCTCATAGTATATAAACTCGTGTATATGTCCTGTAGTACCTCAGTTCGAATATCATCTTAGTTTGTCCTCTTTCTGTCCTCCGGACTTAAGTCCTTCTTACTCTTGTCACCCTCCGAGACTTCGGATAGATTCCGATAGTCTATATCCTCGGCTCTACCTTCGGGTAGTCTTACTCTGTTAGTTTCTAGTTCGGATACATCCGGATTAGTCTTATATACGTTTCCGATATCCGGAAGACATCCGGATATACTACGAGACCCGTCCGGACCTTCGGACGCGTTATCATTAGTACTTTGAAATAAGGGACAGTACTTGGGAAAGGGGCACAGCGTACGAGCTGAGGCCGAAGTCCTTTGGATCCGATCCTACGAGAGCACGACCTTAACACTGCCATAGATCAACTCACATATTTCCACATTGAATGGTGCACCTCGGTTTGGTAATATATGTACATAAAGATGTAACTAGTTGAGTGGGTATGCTAATGCAACTAATCTTAAATATATAATATATTCTTTATATGTGCTTGACAGGCTCTACTAAGCAAACATTGTCAAAACTTATGGTAACGGTAATCTGTGAAGATGGCAAAATCTTTAACTTGATAGTGCAATTCTTGATGTTGCACTTTGCAATGGTTCTTATTCTCCCTCAGTTCTGACCATCCATAATAAAACATTCCTGATTTTTCTTTTGGGGCTGAGCCAGAGTGAGACATTCAACGGGAATTTGGTAGTCTACCCTAGCACCTCCTGCAGTTTTGGCAGTGGCCCATGCTAAGATGTGGCCTGGAGGAGCAGGACCATTGGGCCCACAGAATGAATCAGGACAGTGACTATACACTAACTGCTTGAGTAACTTGCTGCCTTGGAAACTCACCAAGCCATTAAAAAGGGCATGGTAGTTGTGGAATTGTGAGACATGTGCCTTCAGCCAGCAAATTGAGTCTGTAATAAAAGTAATTGCCATGTTATGATGAATATCAGATTACTAACCATGTGGTTTCAGTGGGGTTGGTTCAACGACAGTATTACTGGAGTTAACGGTCTAGGGATCTTCTGTTGAAGGACTGGCATTGTCATTTTGGAAAGATATTGTAGCAAGGACCTCTGGGAACCGGGTCTCCCAGGTAATTGCTGAACTGGAAGCAAGGGCAGAGGGTGTGATTCTCTCAAGTGAAATGGTAACACTTTGGGGTGGTGCCATCACATATGATTTTCTGCGCATGTCACAGAATAAAGTGAAGTCACCTCATTTAAGTATTGCACCGTTTAATCAGCAACCATGGCTATCCAAATGTTAACTTGATGAAACAAAAAAATGATAGAAATGAAATGACTCACTTGGTGGCAACATCAGAGCATCTGACGGTTATGCAAGGTTGACTGTGGATGGCAATGATACAGGTATCCATAGATAAATTATAGAGCATTGCCCAGAAGCCCTTTTTTGGGCCTCCAATGACAAAAACCTCCTTCTTCATATACTTGTTGAATACATCAAGGTCAATGTTGTGTGTCTTCATGATAAATCGGATGGAAACTGTGACCTGCAAAAAGTTAGAGTTATTTTGTGTGAATAAAGTCATACTTACATATTCTTTGTTGTCAGTCTCTAGGGTTAATTGAGAGTTGATGAAGTCCATGCTGTGTACCACCCCCTCTGTGTAAAATTTAGGTCCATAAGCGATGCTAATGACATCTTCAGGTCTGACATTGTAACTGCACTCCTTAGTGAATTTGAGGGTAGCTGGAAGACAGGTACATTCAACCATTATAGCTTCGATTTGGATGAAATATGGGGCTACATGACTGCTAGTATCGTTCATTAACAGCTCATTTCATCCTGGAACCACATGAGGGAATTTGACACCCATTGCACAACCCCACTCTTCCCTATCCAATCTCTAACTAAGACTAGGAGAAAGTCACCAATTTTAATGGACTTTGACTCTTGCGGGGGGTTGACGTATGTTGAAATTGACATGTGGATTTGCAGAGTGTGATTGATCAGATGACACTCCAAATAATACTTGGAGACCTCAACCTAAGCAATATGTTAAAAATAATTGTACTACAAAGGAGATTTTGTGACACACCTGTTCCTGCGTCCTGGACTAACAAATGCAAAAGATATCATCATTTCTTTGGACGACATGACCTTGCAGCCCTAAGTCATCTCCGGCTACAACTCGAACTTCATCACCAACCCTAAAGACGAGCTCTACATCCCGGAGCCTATCTTTCACCTCCTTACACTGACTGTCCAAGTCAAATGCTAACTTTGCCGAACCACCAAATGCATGATCTGCCATTAGGATCATACAAATCTGTCTGACTAAGTCTGGCGTGTTAAGGCAAACCAAGTCGCCAGAGCGCAATAACTGCTTAGAGAACACAATTTTGGACTGTTTGCAGAACAGCGTGTCCCAATCAGACTGGATATGAAGTTGGATGACATCAGAATGGGGAACAGGCATCAACTCGGTGCAGTAGTGGTGGTAGTTTTACTTCAGAAGGCCATCATAGTATTCTTTGTCTTTGTTTTTGAACCTGACTTCTTCTCCATCGCAAATGATGGGGGACATCAAGATCCAGGTAGGCAGGTATGAAGGATCAAATAGGACAACCATACCTTTGGGCATCTCTGGCTGCTGAAATGCCAGGGTTAGCAAAGGCTGGTACACTCTCCGTGATTGATAGATCATAACAAGGTTGGGCCTGTATCTACATGTGATATCCCAATTCACTGTGGGACCTCATAGCTGACATTAGAATTATCTTAGGTATAACTCACTATAACCACCAATTTGCTCAACTAACATTTAACTGTGACCTTCCTCTCACATCAACATGTTGTAAGGACTCCATGCGTTCAAAGCCTCCTCCCAACAGGAGCTCCACACCATAGCATTAAAGTGGTTGCATACCTAGGCTGCAAGGGAAACCATCAATGATAGATGATATGGAAACTAAGATGTGTCTGAAGGTTATTACAACTGAGTGCATGGGCTAAGCTGATTCTCACAGTCAACAAGATATTGATTTGATTGTCTGAAAGTGTATAAAATAGGTGAAAAGATCCTCCAGAGCATAGTGACAAAAGAATAACAAGGAAACAGGTACAAGGCTTGGTATCTATTATACCAAAATTGAACATGTTTGAGCTTTGAGTTGACATGAGAGAACCTCCTATAAGGACCCAAAGATATCCTTCATCAATTCTAAAGCAGTAGTGTTTGCTGTAACATTTGTACCTATTAGCAAGGAGTGATCTCGATGAATAAACTAACCTTCTTCAGCTTGAACCCTCAGATTTGTAATCCTTGCAGGAATTGGGCACGAGCAAGAGTGACATATAGTTGCCCTATCAAAGATATTAACTCGGGATGCTCAAAGAGTCAATGACAATGTATACCAGGGGAGAACATACGAGAAAAATCTTCTGAAAACCAGAACATTGGCTCCTGTGAATGGTCATCGCCTACCCCAAAGAGAGAGGAACCTGAAACAAGTGTTAGAAAGAGGACTGATCAGTAAATGTGTGGTATCAACTTGAATTCGAGAAGCTCTCATTGTGTTCCTGTATTCTTCATAATCAAATGTAAATCAAGGCCTGTTCAGTGATTGTCTCATAACCCATGAATGAATTGTTTGTCCTGCTGTGAGGTTAGGGATTGATCTCAAGAAGAATAATCCAAACTTACCCTGTATCTTGTTTGCAGCAGCCCCTGTACTCGCAGTAACGGCCACCTCGTGCTTGGAGTACTTAGTTAACAAGTATTCAATAATTTTGATGATGGTGAAGGTTTTTCCCATTCCTAGAAAATATTGAGTACAGCAACTGAACTGGGTGTAACACTCACCAGGATCACCAGTCAGGAAAAAACTGGTTCCATTGCCAGTGAGATCTAACACGGCCCATTGCTAAGGATCGAGCATGGTTAAGTCAATGTTTCTATTGGTGGGTCTGGTCATGAGAACCCTAATAGAGTGGCTGGTTATAAGGTCATGGGTTTTTTGCTGGGGAGGCATGTTGTGGGAGGAGGACAAGGTGGGAAATTAAAAGATGGAGGCCAAGGGTGAGTATATATGTGGCCCAGCAACAAACTGGTTACCCCTATCTGTCATCTCAAATATTAACTGAACAGAGTAGTGCAATGTGCACAACATGTTGTTGACACTTGTGAACTTTATTGATGCACATTGCCTGATATGTTTTACTGTTAGAAATTCAACTGCTACATCATACAAAAATCTAACACTGAAAATACCTCAATGGTGAGGTGTTTCATGGAAGTGGGAAAGGTGCAACACATTGGATCAACAAAATTCATATAGGGATGACATAATAAGACAGATCCAGTCATTATTGATGGACCTAAGCAAGGAACTGTGAACACTTGTTGTCGACGTCACAATGACTATGCAAGTCATATCACTTCAGATCTAGATCACAATCATTATAGATGTGTCTTATTATTGGATGGCTTGCAAGTTTTATGCTTCAGCATGTCAACAAACTGCTCATAAGTCAAGCTTGTTTTGGATTGCATGTGCTCCTGAAATATTCTAGTTAGAATGAATGTGTTGATATCATCTCTAACTATGGTTGATGCGAAGAACTAGGTTGCCATCAACTGCATACACATAAGTTTTGTTTTTGTTTTGGCTCTTACATTTACTGTTCTTGTATTATTTTAGGCGATGCACAGGTTGAGTTGGATATGAAGCACTTTCCCTTCACAAGAGCAGCGAACCTTACATCAGGGTGAAGGACAAGCAGACCAAAGGTACATTAGAGTTAAAGGTGAGCTCTCCCTTGATGAGTGCTGAGTTTTGTGCTGAAAATCTGGTAAATTGCTCCAGCTAAAGCCCACTAACCATCAGGTGGAGATACACTTTCAAAACATGAGGTGAAGTTTGTGTAATTGATTATACAGAGTACTGCTAAAATAATAAAATTTCACACAACATGTCCATTAAGTGTTGCACTTGTCATAGTAAGTATGCAGCGAGTACATCCTACACTGATAATATTACTAACTACTTCATATGAACTTTTGAAGGATGAACCAGCAAACCAGTCTATTGAGAGGGCAGGGACTATGAATCTCAATACCTACTAACTGTAAAGTATCCTACTGTGCTTTGTTCATTTGAGTTATCTGGAATTTTTGTTATATACACCAGTCAAGAGCTCTCTAATGTAAGGGTTAGAGAGGGGAGAAAGAACTCTGCTAATTAGGAGCATATCCAAGCTGCATGAGCTTCAATACTAAGCATGCAAATATTATTGAATGTCATGATAGTATGTCTACATACAGCCACTTTCCACTACTGTTGTGTAAGGATGGCCAATGGAGAACCCCTGTCAATCTCTCGCACATGAGCAGTAAACCACCTCTCCAACTTTTTGCTTCATTCACCAGACCAATTCTTGTTTTTCTGCCACAGATCAAGAGTAGGCCAGATGCTACCATGGTTAGTTATGTCCAATAGAAGAGATATATCTTTATCACTAATGCAGTCATCCACCAGTGTGTCATGTGCTTCACAATGGATGAGATTTAAAGCATTGCTTGATGGCCCTGAAATTGCAGACTCAAAGAGTTGAAACAGTCCATAATGCAGCACAATGCACCACAAAATACCACCCATTGTGAGGAAACGACATGCACAAAGGAGTTGAAGGAAAGTATGGACATTATGTGTGTAATCAATAAAAAATGAAGTACCTGCCATCAGAGAGCAGTTAGTTGCCTGGATATTAGCAGGGATTAAAACAGATGGTTAAAGAGTCCTTGTAGATGGTGGGGTGAAACTTTTCAATCTATCCCAAGCAAAAGACACTAATAAGCTAAGAACCAGACAGATACTTAGAGGTGCTGAGTGTTTCATAACAGAAGTCTTGCTTAGGTCCTTTTTGAAACCACTAATGTCTCTTGGGTTACAAATGTTAAAGCATCTGGAAGGGGTATTTTGGGTACGCAGTAGTCTGAGTCAAAATAGATGTATGGCTTGTCGAATTGTTGCAATAACCATCGAGTCTTGGAGTTATCAAGAGCCTGTGAGGGATTGAAAAGATGTGACTCTTGTTTACACAAAAACTACATCCCTTTACAGGAACATATGCATTAGGCAGTTGGATGAAGGTAAAGAGGCAGTGACAGTCTGACATAGGACATGTGTGGCCAAAAGATATGACAGATAGAGACAATATGAGATGGAGATGTAGAATCAGTACACAAGACTGAAAGAACAAAACACAAAGACCCACCAAACAGACTATAAATAGACAGAGCAAGAGATCGATCCAACAGCCACTCCTCTCATGCATTACAGCACAAGAGTGCTCTGCCTTTTACAAGGCAGAGGGAGCATCATTTCATCAAATCTCATCCAGGTTCAACATTTACATTTATGACCATTGCAGTAAGCACATATTCCATAAAAATAGCTCACAAACCACTCGTAGAGGCTGATGTACCACTAGACTCTGCTCCCACCATCAACATATGTCAGGGTCTACTTTTGAGTATGTCCTTGTTACCTGAGTATTCAACTTACCCAAATTGCATCACTCCAGATGGTGGAGGATTTCTTTCAAGTATTTTTCACCACAAAAGCAAAGAAACAAGGATGGATGACACTATTATCTATATGCAGGTATGTGGACCGCAACATTCTTAATGATGTAGTAACCATGACCTCTGAATGTGCAAATGGCAGCCTGGGGGCCCCATATTATTCCCGATGAACAGTCCTCAAACCTAGTGCATATTGATGCCATCAGGCAGCTGTCCAGGTCAACCATGTTCCTTCTTGCAGCTTCTACTAGGGAAGCCGTAAACTAACCACTAAGCCAAATGATGCTGAGCCTTCATTGTAATCCCCAACAATAACTCATCCCTCCTATCAGAGGAGGTAACCCTCAGCATCCACGGCACTTGATGAATTAAGCAAGGGGAGCTGCCCAACTACCTTTTCAATCTCAATCATCTCATGCACCCTTTAGATCCATCCCTTGGCTTGGTTTCTCAGATGGCACATGCTGCCATTTCCAATCAGGTAGTTGCCCAGTGTTCTGGTACCCCAATAAAGGTGGTATGATACAACAGGACCTGGTACACTGAGTTTGTGCCCAAGACTATGGTAGCACTTTAACTTGCATCATTTGCACTGAGCCGGACAACATTAAGTTTCTCTCAATGTATGTAAGTCGCAGTAAACAATGTTCAGGCTAATACATACCTGATTATTGAATGCTATGAGGGTGTGTATATGCGCAATTCCTGTTATATATCTGGTATTCATCCTGGATAGGCAATATTACAGTTGAGGTTTGTGTCTTGAGTACATAGGGCAGCTGAACTCTGACTCTGGGACCTCTACAAACTTTAAAAAAATACACTCACTGCTATCAGTGGTGAATTTCTTGCACACAATAGCACTACAATTGATGCATTTGTGCTTATGG